GGTCGTCAAATTCTTCCCCAAGATGCTCCTCTCCGAACTCTACGCGCGCACCAAGGGCGCGGCCTACTACGCCAACCACAAAGCCGGGACCGCAGGCGGGGGCTCCAACACGGGCGGCAGCAACGCCGGCAGCCGCCAGGACCATCTCCGCAGCGGCGGCGGCAGGGGTGGGAGTGCGCTGCGGTCCGCCAACCGGGCCGAGATCCAGGTCGAGCAGTCGTTCGAGATGAAGAGCGTGCCCATGACCGCCATGGACCTCGACGACGGCGGCGGCAAGACCAGCAGCCGCGACGGCAGCGAGAAGAACCTCGTCGTCGCCAGCTGGCAGGATGAGTACTACTCCACGCCCATCGGGGGCAAGAAGGTCACCATCACGAGTCACCCGCGCGAGATTGTCTAAGGGAAGCAAAAAAGGAAAGGAAAGAAAAAAAAGAACAAAAAGGGAAAGCAATGGACTGGGTTTAAAGTGGGGTTCTGGAAGTGTATAAAAATCAAAGATTTAGAGGTGGATGTTCATTCAGCGAAAGGAGAATACGGAGTTTGTCTTTGCTTCTTCTTGTGATTCATGGCACGTTCAATGGAGGGGACTCGGTGTCGGTCTATTGTTATGTTGAGCCGAAAGGGGACCAACTCTCTTTGTACAAAGTAGATGCTTTTAGATACAGTACCTAGGTACCTAGTTGTATGGATCATGTACATGACGTCCTCAAAAATGCTGTCATTGATAGGTGCAGTTCAAGTTCTTTGCAGAATATGGATCGGTCAATGATAAGGTGCAGTATGAATGGCGCGATTGAAGGGGTGATGCGATGGGCACTAACATGGCCTCATTGAGCTGTGCAATGGCGTAATGCGGGCAGTCGTTCGTGACGGAGGCCTTAGTCTTGATTTATAATCCCGCTGCACGATAAAGAATGGCATGATCTGACGGGCACGACGTGTATTAAGTTCACCATTGATTACCTCGAGAGACACACTTTGGTGAACAAGATTCTGTGGTGTTTAGAATCATTCATAGTATCTTTGTTTTCATCTGGCAACCGAATTAGCCCCTTTTCAACCAAAACAACATTGCTCAATCAAGATTCAAACCACTCATTCAACTCGCATACATCAAACTCTGCCCACGTGCAGCTCTTCAACTTTCAACATGGCAGTCAAGGAGAGCAACTCCGTCCAGCCCAAGACCATTAACGTGGCAATCATAGGCGGCGGGCCGGGAGGACTCGCCACCGCCATCACCCTGGGCAGGCTCCCTTTCATCAGCTGGACACTGTACGAGAAAAAGCCGCAGATCAGCGAGACGGGCGGCGGCATCAGTTTGCAGCGACACACCTGGCGGATGCTGGAGCTCATGGGGGCGGCCCAGAACATCTCCAACGACGACTTCTTTCGGCCCCCGGACGGCCACACCGTTCAGCACCGGTGAGTGACCGTCTGGTCACTGCCACAGTGACCAAATCCAATCGCGTGAGAAGCAACTATACTAACGATTCTCATCCCCAAGAAATGCGAGAACCGGTGAACTACTCTCCCAGGGCTTTGCGCCCAAGGACACGCCGCCGAACCAGGGGAGCTGTCGGATGGTCCGCCCGAAGCTGCAGGGCGCGCTGCTGAAGCAGGTCGACCAGACCAAGATCAAGACGGGGAAGAAGCTAGTCGACATTGAGAGGCTGGCCAGCGGGAGGCTGCGGATTGTATTTGCAGACGGGTTCGAGGACGAAGTCGACTTGCTTGTTGGTGCAGACGGAATCAGATCAGTAAGACTCCCTCATCCGTTTCCCCTACCACCAGCCAGCACCAAACTAACTTCCCAACCACCCACCCAGGCCGTCCGCCAGTTTGCCTTCCCCACACACAGCATCTCCTACATCGGCCAATCCGCCTACCGCACGCTCATCAGCACGGCCAGCGTCGACGGCCACCTCCTCGCGACCTCCACCCCCACGGTCCCCAAGGGCCCCATCTTCTGGCACAACGTCGGCGGCAAGTACGTCTTCACTTGCCCACTCGGCGGCGACGTATTCGAAGTCACCGCACGCATCCGCCGCAGCCCCGACAGCCAAGACCAAGTCAGCTGGGGCCAGCCGTTCGACTTCCACCAGCTCCTGCCCGAGTACGCCGAGTTCTGCCCGACCGTGCGCGCGATCCTCGCCCTGGCAGCCGCCACAGGCCAGACGCAGGAATTCGCCATGTTCTCGGGCCCGCGGCTCGAGAGCTGCGTCGGCTTCGGCAGCGTGGCGCTGCTGGGCGACGCGTCGCACCCGCTGTCTGGCGCGTTTGGCGCCGGCGCGGGCTTTGCGCTCGAGGACGCGTATACACTCGCCGCGGCGCTGGAGTGGGCTTTTAGTAGAAGGGGAGGCCGGGAAGGGGAGACGGGGGGAGTGTTGGCGGACGCGCTGGGGCTGTATGATCGTGTTCGGTCGCCGCATTATAAGGGGCTGTATGACACGCTGGATCGGATGGGGGGAGCGGTGGCTGCGCTGGCCAAGGAGGGCTTGCCGGTGGATGAGGAGATCGCGGAGAGGGTGCGCAGGAGCAAGGACGCGGGGAATGATTGGATGTATTATCACAAGGCCGATGAGGTTGTCAGGCAAGCGATATTGGAGGTGGAAGCGGAGGTGGGTGGAAGTGGGAAGGGGGATCAAGTGGTTGTGGGGGCTTTGGAGGTTGAGGTTGGGGCGTAAAATTGGGTTGTAGGTGGATGTAGTAGTTTATGTCGACCAGCTTGGTGGTATTGTTTACCTCTAAAGGAGTTGGAACTTGGGCTGATTAATTACCTGGTAAGTAGGTAGTGTGATCACCCATTGAGTATGTTACAAGAGAAGGGACACCCATTTAGGATATAGGGACAGACTGGAGCTGATATCGCCTAGTAGTCTCAAGAGCAATCTTCGCGTCGGTTCTTACAGGCCTCAATATCCTTGACGAAACTGACGGCTTTCTGCCTGTCTTGAGGAAACTAGCAACGCGGCGATTTCCTATGCACTGGACACAACAAGTGAGTCATCTTTTGTTTCTAGCACTAACGTTAGATGACTTGTTTAACAATAAATATTGACTTTCAGGCATGCTGCTGTGCTATGCAATTATAAGAGCATCTTCACTTCAACCTTATGGGTCTCTGATTTAATGAATCAACCTGCTATACGGTATGCTAGACGTTCCGATGGCCATAATTTGCAACTTCATGATTTTGCCTGGGTCAAATACTGGACCAGGTAGGTTTTAGTCAATCGACAATAGTAAGATGCAACGATGCGATAAATAGGGGCGCCCACTCACCCATCAAGCATAAGCGTTCGGAACCCGTCACAATGCATTTACTCAAATCATCAATGTGGAAGGAACTAAACGCGCCGCTCCTTCCTCCCGTCTCTCGACCTAAAATTAGCTTCACTTCGGCACCTTCGACAAGCTGCCCGCCCCAGCGTCGGGTTCGAGCGGGTCCTGACGAGAGGTTTTCCCCACATTCCATCTGATCAGAGTGGCACACGAGCGGCAGCGGAACGCGCCCGTTGAAACTGACCCGGGAATCAAACGAGCACGCTCCCTCCGTGAAGTCAGCAGTCAAAAACACACTGAACGAAACACAAAAGCTTCCGGCCCGCCCCGCATCTCGAGCATTGCGTCATTTCTTTGTCCCTCACGATTGAACCATCACCATTCTTTTTACCCACCACCGAGCTCCAAACGGCCAAGACGCAAACAACCCCACCTCACCCACATGTTCTCGCCAGTCTGCTACCTCAGCGAGCAAGACATCCTCCCCGACACGCAAATGGCGCGTCTCCGCATCGGCTACGTGCCCGAGCACTTCTCAACGCCCATCCACTTCGCGCAGGCGCACTATGGGCTCGACGCCGAGCTGATCGCCTTCCCCTCGGGCACGGGGCACATGGTGACGGCGCTGCGCAGCGGCGAGATCGACGTGGGCATCGGCCTAACCGAGGGCTGGATCGCGGGTCTCGGCCGCGTGGAGGAGCAAGACAATGACGGCGGCTACCGGCTCGTGGGCACCTACGTCGAGACCCCGCTGTGCTGGGCCATCTCGACGGGCGCCGACCGCCCCGACATCGCCTCGGTCGACTCGCTCAAGGGCAGCAAGATCGGCGTCTCGCGCATCGGGTCCGGCAGCTACGTCATGGGCTACGTGCTGGCCGACCAGCACCACTGGCTGCTGCCCGCCGCCGCGAATACCGAGACTCCGCCACCGCCGCCGTACAGCCAGTTTGTCGTGCTCAACACGTTCGAGAACCTGCGGAAGGCCGTCAACTCGGGCGAGGCCGACTTCTTCATGTGGGAGCACTTCACGTCCAAGAAATACTACGACTCGGGCGAGATCCGCCGCGTGGGCGAGATCTACACCCCGTGGAGCAGCTGGAAGATTGTCGCGGCCACGGCGCTGGTGGGCAAAGACGCCGGCGCGGCGCTGGATGCGCGCGTCGAGGACCTGTTTGCGAAGCTGGATCTGGGCATCAAGCACTTCACCGAGCACGAGGACGAGGCGGTGGCGTACATCAGCACCGCGTTGGACTATTCGGAGGAGGATGCGCGCGAGTGGCTGAAGACGGTCAGGTTCCCCGAGAAGACGCGGGGCGTGGACCCGGCCGTGGTGGAGAATACCGTCGACGTGCTGCGCAAGGCCGGCGTGCTGTTTGAGGGGAGGGGCATGCGGCCGGAGGTGATGATTGCAAAGACGAGATGAGGCAGATAGGGGTGATGTGAATGATGATGTGATGAGTGGGCAGCTGCGGATGGATTTGATGCAGAAGTGCAACTGCAAGGAAACGTTCAGTACATACCATGCACACCATTTCCTCGCCATTAATCTTTGATGAACCATGTCCAAAGGAATAAATACCATACCAACTAAGTGGCATTCAGAGAGCGAATAACGAAAAAGATACGCAACAGGAAATACAAAAAGAATGCAGACAATGTTCAAAATGACAAGCATTAACTTTAACATGGCAGAGAAATGTTAGATGCAAAAAATGTGGATGCACCCGGGATCGAACCGGGGACCGTCTGTAGGAAGTGCAAAGAAGTCATTGCAAAACAGAAATCATACCACTAGACCATACACCCTAATCAAGTTACAAAATGGGTTGCCCGCTTTGTACTTGTATGGAGCCACACGGCGGATCCCCGCTTCGCATTCACGCTCCATCCACCCTCAAGACATATCAAGTGCGTCTAGTGCTGCCATTGAAAAGAGGAGATTTGCGAAAAATGTATACTCATTGATACCTGAAACCCGTGATGTAATAATTTATAGCATCGGGCGTGAATCCCGTGCTAATCTTTTCCATCGGGTTCATCAATTGCCGTGACACAGGCTCACAACACTCAAGACGCCTAAGTCTAACGTCACGACTCGTGTCATTTGAGACATTCGGCCCTTGGTAAGTCAGTTACTACCCATTGCCCACCTACTCTTGCAGTCAAAAGCATCGTGGTAGAATGCTTGACGGGATACTTTTAAGCCCTCTTTGACCAAGGCATGTGCACTTACTTCTCTCGTCCTACCTAGGTCGCCGTGGCCGAGAAAAGCCCTGTCCGAAATCTCGGAGCCGCTGCCATGGTCTTTCCTCTGGAGCCTGGAAACCTTGGTGCAGGCCGTTGCGAACCGCCGTACAGAGCTATGTTTCAAGTTTGGACTTGCTGTGTCGAGACTTGGGCAACTGCACGATCCATCCGAACTACCGCATTTGAACAGCGCGGGACATGGTCTTGCTTCTTCCCTACAGCCATGGCATACTTCAGCGCCGGTCTGAGGTTGCGCAAATAATCCCCCCTTTTTACCCCTTTCTTACTCCACGGCCTTCCAAACAGCCTCGACCCCATACCTACCTACCTTGGGTACCCAAAAACCGCCTCATAACGGCCCCGGCGCATGCTCTGACTCCAGATACCACTCCCGCGTGACAGGACTCAAATGTCCCCTCCGCTCCGCAAACGTGCGCCACTTCCAGTCCGCCGGGTCCCGGCACGAACCAATCTGATGAGACGACCTGATGGTGATCCGCAGCAGCTCCAGCCGCTGCCCCGGCGCATACGCGTCCGCGTCGTAGAGAATCTTCTGGTCCGCCTCGGTCTCGCGATACTCGAGGCGCTCGACCGTCGTGGTGTAATCAGTCAGACAGACGCGGCAGCTCCCGGGTACCTCGCGGTACGTATCGGCATATGTGAGCGATTCCAGCGCGGGGATGCGCGTCTAGGACTGGAAGTGCCCGCTGGATGGCCAGATGGGCGGTGGGAGGGGCCTGTCGTCTCCAGAGCGCAGTCTGCGGATTCTCTCCTCTGTGCGCTGCGTCGCAGCCTGCCACTGGTAGAGCATGTCTCGTCGGTCGTCGGCGTGCTTCTGGGGCGGGTGCGTGGTTGTGTGGTGGCAAACGAAGCGGGCTTCGGCGGAGGTGAAAAGGCCACAGTTGAGGTCGCTGAGGTTTCTCTTGGGGGTTCCACGCAGCTCGAGGACGTGCAGCGCCGAGAGGCATAGCTCGTCGTGCAGGACCTTGGGTGTCATGGTGCACGTCCAGCCGGGGTTGCGATCCCTGCGGGGGGCCAGGTACTTGGAGTAGTAGGGCTCGATGTAGGGGGGGGGGGTAACAAAAGTGAGGCCTGGCTTCCATGATGGTTTGAAGCGGTGCAGACGGGTGCACGTGTGGCGGTAGAAGTGGTCGTGGCTCAGGTCTTTTTCGAGGAGAAGGAGAAGGTTTGCGAGATGTGGTGCGGTGTGCAGCCCTTGTTGGATGGTGGGAGGGAACAGGAGGTAAAATAATAATGCCTTGCATGTGAGTGAAAGAGCGGCAGCGGAATCTGGAGGGAGGTGTTGCAAGACTTCGAGCAGGACGTCAACTGGCTGGTCGAGCAGGATTGACCTTGACCTCGTTTAATCCTTCTGGTTCTCCGGCTTCGCCTGTTTCTCTTTCTCGGCCTTGTTTGGTGAAAGTCGACGGAATAGGAGCTGGATTCCGGTCGCTGCAGAGCGGGGGCGTAGGGTGCACATCTTCCAAAGCCAGTGGGGGGTTGACAATAATAATGTCTTGGAAGTACCTTATGTTTTGATTGATATGAAAAGGTGGGGAGTGAAGAATATGAGGAAACGGTATTTCAAAGAGAAAACTAGGTAAGTGTGATTGTGGGAGCTTCTTATCGGATGTGGGCAGGTGGTTGATCTTTAAGGTTTTCCGGCCGAACACTCCAATGGACCAGGCCCAGTGCTGGCCCTACCACGGGTGCCAGCCCGCGTTCAGGCTTTGTGTGGCACGTCTGCCAATGGCATAAAAGTCAATCGTGTAATTGCTGGCGAGGATTGGAATGTGTCCATAATAGTAACCTCGATGGTTGCTTCATAACCGAGCAGTCGGTTCGTATAATGTGGGTATCAAAATAGGGAGGTCAGTCGGCAGGTCATGTAGCGAACTTGAAGGCCACCTTCGCATGTCACCACCGCCACCACCACTTCCATCTCTCACTGGGTTTGTTTTAGATTTTTCTTCTTCTTTTCGACTCTGCCTGCCTGCCTGGCTTGATTGCTTTGCTGTCAGAAACTCCCAAACAATAAGCCCAACCAACGCAGCCCAGTCAGTCCCTTGGTAATCCCAGACGCCAAAATAATGTATCAACCACCCAGTGCCCGACCCCGTTCCGCTCAAGTCAGTTTCCACAACCGTCTTTAGTGTTCCACTTCACCTCCTTCCACCGCGTCCGCCGCCGCCGGGCTGGCCGCCGCCCATCATGCCGCTCATCTGCTTCATCATAGCGTTCATGTCCATGCCGCCCATACCGCCACCACCACCACCACCACCGCCAAGCATCTTCATCAAACTGCTCATATCCGGCATGCCACCGGCTCCACCAGGCATGCCGCCAGCGCCGCCGCCCATGCTCTGCAACCGCTTCTGCATGGCGGCCATCTGCTGTGCCTTGTTGCCGCCGCCCATGGCACTCTGGGCGCGCTGCATATTCTTCATGTTGCCGCCCATCTTCTTGGCCATGCCCGCCATCATGCGCTGCTGGGTCAGCAGGTCCTCGACCTCGCGAACGGTGGTGCCGGACCCGCGGGCGACGCGCGTCATGCGCGTGGGCTGCTCGATGAACATCTTGCCGTCGCTGTCCAGCTCCTTGTCCGTCATGCTGTCGCAGATGTAGATCATGCGCTTGAGCTTGAGGCTGCCCTCCTCGTCATCCATGCTCTGCATCATGTTGCTCATGCCCGGGATCATGCCCGCCATCTTGCTGAGCGGGCCCATCTTCATGATGTTGGACAGCTGGTCGCGCAGGTCGCGCACCGTGAAGATGCCCTCGGTGATGTGCTTGATGGTGTCCTTCTGGTCGAGCTTGAGGGACTGCACGTGCTCGACCAGGCCGGCCATGTCGCCCATGCCGAGCAGTTTGCTGATGAAGTTGTTGGGCACGAAGCGCTCGAGGTCGAGCATGTGCTCGCCGGTGCCGATGAAGACGATGGGGGTGTGGGTGGCGGCGACGGCCGAGATGGCGCCTCCTCCGGCGGCGTGGCCGTCCGTCTTGGTGATGATGATGGCGCCAAAGTCGGCGGCCTCCTTGAAGGCCTTGGCCTGCGACTCGGCCTGCTGGCCGATGGAGGCGTCGAGCACCATGATGGTCTCGTCGGGGTGGATGGCGGTCTGGATGTCCACCATCTCCTGGAACAGGGCGCTCTCCTGCCTGTGGCGTCCCGATGTGTCGACGATGATGATCTCGAAGCGCTCCTTCTTGAACTTTTCCACACCGTCGCGTGCCACGACGGCGGGGTCCGTCTCGGTCAGGCTGCCGTAGTAGGGGATCTTCGCCTTTGTCGCGTTCTGCTTGAGCTGGTCGAAAGCACCGGCGCGGAAGGTGTCGGCGCAGACGAGACAGGCGCGGAAGCCGCGGGACTGGTAGTGGCGGGCCAGCTTGGTGCAGGTGGTGGTCTTTCCGGCGCCCTGCAGACCGACGAACATGATGACGTTGGACTTGCCCTTCTTGGGCTTGAAGGGGTCGGCATGGGGGTCGACGAGGCGGACGAGCTCGTCGAACACGGCTTTCTGGATCAGGCGCTTCTTGTTGACGGCAGGCGGGAGTTCTTTGAAGTTTACTGTCGAGCGGATGGACTTGCGCAGCTTGCCGACGAGGAGCACGTTGACGTCGGCTTCGAGGAGGGCGGAGCAGATCTCCTTCAGCATGGAGTCGAAGGCCTGCAGAGAGACGTAGCATGGTTAGCCATTGCCATTGGGTCGGCCTCCAGGCGACCAGATCATATCAAAAGACATGCCAAGCGAGGGGCAGACAGGACAGGGGCAAATGACGACAGCTTGCCTTTTCATCGAGGTTGGGCGCCCTGGTCAGATCGCTGACGGCCGCATTGATGCGGCGGCCGAGATCTTGGAGAACCATGGCGTGGAATTCGGGGCGGCTGTGACGCCGGCGAGGTGTGATGTCGTGGCCTTTTGTCGCTGTATGATGAGGGTGGTTGCGGCTTTGGTGGGTGTGGCTGTCGCTGTCGCTGTGAAGCTGCGGTGCCCGTCACGCAGGCTGCTGGTCAACTGGCTGGTGGAGGTTCAGCGGCTTGGCTTTGGTGGGTTTGGCTGGCGGCGAATTACGAAATGGTGGGGCGACTTGGGCTTGCCCCGCGGGCGGTGAAACATCCTTGGCTCCGATCAAGCAAGCTCGGCAGGCATTGGCTAGCTGCTCTGGCTCCTGGAGAACGGGGACCTGACAGCTGCAAACCCAATGTATAATGCCAAAGTTCCCTCGCCAAATGTGTGGAGTTAGGAAGTGCAGGTATCAGATGCAAGCTTGAACTATTGACCAGTTAAATCCATCAATATCCTGTAGCGACAAAAAGGGAAGTCCAAGAAAAGAACCCGGAACTGGAGCTGGCAGCAGACAGCTGCAACATATCGATCTGATCGGACATAAGTGGGAGGTGAACCGCGAATGAGAATCCTGTGTGTTGAAGAAAAGTGCAAAAAGAAACGCCACACTCAGAAGTGTGTTGTTATGATGATGATGCCCAATAACAGGATTGAACTGTTGACCTTCGCATGACTTGATAAATGTCCGAGGATATTTATTAGTACGACGCT